CCTGGAAAACTCTCAAGCTTGCCTAATACTGTATTTTCAGTTGACATCCACTCATGGTTGCTAATGAACTTAAGAGATGGAAAAATTTCCACAGAAAAATAAGGCACTGGAAAAAACATCATTGGTTGGAGCCCAGCAATATCTGAAGTGCAAGAAAATTCCAATCCCTACACTCAGGCAAGTCAGTATTCTTTTTCCACCTATTACAGATAGCTGGGGGGGGGGGAGGGAGAGATCAGGTGACACAAAGGACCAATAAGTTGCTCTCTTTGGTTCTATAAAGCTACTAATTCTGTCCTGATCCCTCACTTGGGCATAGACACTGTTCCTTTTGGACAGTCCAGTTTTGCTTTTAGCCCACCAACCCTGATGAGGAATGGTGCTCAACTTCATCTGTTAATGCTCCTAGCCAGTTAAACAGTAGGAACCTCAATGGTCTCTTCTACAAATCTCCCCTTATTCTTGAAAAGCCTTGAGGTCTTCTGCAGGAGTAATAAAATACTATATCATTTTTCAAAACCCAAAGTCTTAAAAATCATCTTTATGGGACTAGGAAAAGACTGCAATATGAATTCTCCTACCTCCAAGGAACCTTGAAGGCTTTAACTGGAAAAGCAAAATCCCTTTTAATAAAATGACCTTTCGGGTTGTTGTGGGCACTCTCTCTTTCTGACATTTTTTAACAAGCCTGCCTGTGAGGGTTGATTGGCTTATTTGTACAGTGCTCCCAGGCTGAAATTGGACTGTAATTAAGTTGTTAGTTTATAAACACTTGCCTGGAAGTTCACTGTATCTTCTGGTCTTTGGCACATTTCCCACCCCCACCCCCCAGTCCAAAGTCTCTTGCACACAAAAAGAATTAAACGCAGCAATTCTCAATCCTCATTCCTGGTACTCGCCCCCCTGCCCGCCTCACCGCCCCCTTCCATTTCACTGCGATGGTTACTTTGGCAGAAGATGGGCATGAGCAAATGGAATCGTAGCCTGAAGAATATCGGCTTCTCTGCATGTTTGCGTATGAGATGAGGAATAGTGTGTGCGACTTATGAAACGACTTTGTGAGGGACTTGCCCTTTTCCAAGGCCCTTCTCCCTCTTCCCCAGGTATCTAAAGTGCTATAATTAATAATGATAACAACAACAACGCTGATTTCTTGATCACCTTCTAAACCACCATCTCAAGGCAATTTACATATATAAAATAATTAAAAACTGTTTAAAACACAAGTACATTTAAAACAACACTAGAAGTGCACACTCACAGTGAAGAGTGCCCAGCTGGGGAGCCTGCGGGAACAATAATGTACAGTGGTACCTGGGTTTTCGAACGTCTCCATCGGCAAACGTTTCGGAACTCGAATGCCAAAAACCTGGAAGTAAATGCTTCCGTTTTCGAACGCACCTCAGAAGTCGACCGTGTTTATCAATTTTCTCAATGCAAGTTGCAGACTGCCCTTTGCACCTCAGTTTTTGAACATTTTGGAACGCGAACTGTCTTCTGGAACGGATTACATTCAAAAACCAAGGTACCACTGTATTCAGTTGTTTCTTGAAGGTGCAGATAGTTGTAGCTTGACAGGAATGCTATTCCACAGACAGGGGGAAATACACTGAATGTCCTGCTTTGAGTTACTGTGCAACAAGCTTCTAAGGTCTTTAGGATTGCAGGAGATACTCTCCCACAGACCACAGTGATCTCCTGGGTGAATAAGGGATAGGGCACAGCCTTATTAAGGAAGTCTTTCCGGTTACCTGGTATTAAGCTGCATAGTGCCCTGTATGTTGGTACCAACACCTTGAACTTTGCCAAGTAGCAGATTAGTTGCGTGGCAAGACCCCTCCCCCATGTGAAATGAAGACACTGGACACATTATTTAAGGTTAATGGGCATAAAAAGGCCACAACTTTATTGATTACAGAATTGAAAGGTATTGGCCTTAGGCATTGGCTCCTATCGACTACCCGGCATGCAGACCGGGAAGGGTTAACCACAAACCGTGGGAGTCCTGTTGAAGTACGCCAACTAGGATCCCACGGGTGTCACCGCTCGGGGGCGTGCCAGAGGCCCTTACCTCCCTAGGTTTCGGACAAGGCAACACCCCCCGGAGTCCTCTACCAGACTACCCTTTCCTTGGGGGAAGGTGATGGCGCTTCCTTCCCCCCCATTCATTTGCATAACAATAAACCCCTGCCAATGCCTAACCGCCAAATACCGCTGAAGTTGTGACGATTGCTACGAGGTAGGCGAAAAAACCAAAAGGCTGACAGTGCGCCAAATTGGAAAAATTCCTACCAGGCCCCTTGCGGCGACCAACCGGAGTCCATAGCAAGGTCATAGCTAGCTAAGCCTAAGGGTGGGTGGGATGGGAAAAACCACTCAGCTGGCGAGGGGAAAGAGGGCGGTCCCCGGGCGTGCCTGGCCTTAAGTAGGCTAGGCCATGCCTCCCCAGCCCGCCGATTGGCGGGTCGGGTCACAGGCACGCCCGGGGATTCCCTGGATCTCGCAGGGGCAAAAGGCCAGCCCCCACGTGTGTGGGAGGGGGTCACCCGCAACCCCCTCTCCTCCTAAGGTTGGAAATGGCTTAGCCTGTGCAAATCTCATCTTGGGTGTAGCAGGCGGGCAGGCAGGAGGCAGCTGCTGCCCCAAATCAAGTAAATAAATAAAAATATTTAACTAAAAGTAGAAAAATCCAGAATCTTTGAAACTTTAATGCTCACTGAGGTCACCTGAATGATGTTGTGGCACATTCTAGCGATGCAACTGGCAACCTGACTGAGTGATGTGTGGCTTCTGCAAACTGACCAATTGAGTCACAGGTAGCTCCGTTCTCTCTCCACCCCCCACCCCATAAATCCTGGTTATGCCCATGAATCCCACAACCTAGGGACTGGTGGTAGTAGCAAAGGAAGACAGCATTGTGCAGATTTACTATACAGTTGGCTGCCTTGCAGGAAAATGGAAGCCTACTTTAGACCAGGGTTGCCAAGTGTTGTGGTGCCACACAAATGTGGCTGGACTCTTACACTGTCATGCTTCAGGGCCCCAGGTGCATAAGATCCAAACCAAGTTCAAGCACGGAGGATCAGTCTAGGTCCAAACATGATCCAGAGACAGACAGGCCACACTCCAAGGTCAGTAGTTCACAGGTAGTTCAGGCAAAGAACAACACAGCAAGGAACTAGAGACCTGTGTTGCTTCCAACAAGCAGTAGGCTCAAGAGGGAGGCCTTCTATGCTTTGGCCTCCTAAACCGTATCCTAACCACAGCTGCTGGCAGCGAAGGCACCTTGGGGGTTGCTTACTCATAAGTAGACCCCTTATATGCAAGTATAACCAATGACAGCAGAGTTCCTCCCTGGAATCCAAAGAAGACAAACCACTGGTGAGAAAACTAGTTCCTATGCGTGTCTTGAGCCATTACTCATGTCAAACAACATCAAAAGCAGGAGGAGCAGGACAACAGTGGTCATGACTACCTCCTTGTCTAATAGGTGAATGAATACAGCTGGCCAGATCAGCTGAGATGCTACTTAACCCTGGCAACTTTTGCCAAGAGCTCAAGTCACTGCAGATGTTTTCTGCTATATGATCCATGAGACTGGTGACACTTATGGTGTTTTCACCCAAAAGGAAAATGGACATTTGGGGCTTTAGCTGAACATGATAATTCTACCAAGCCCATGTGTTTGATGATTTTGAATAAAATATCTGGTCCGTTAGAAATCAGGTCCAAATCTTTGTGTCAGAGGGTGATAAGAGGAATAACAAAGCAATGTGGGTTTGACTCCTTCTATCTCAGTCACAGCAGCCACTATGGATAAGTTATCTTAATACAATATATTGACATATACGCTGTGGATGTGAGCTTAATATGTAATTTAAAAGATTCTCCAAGTCTATTTGGATGTCATGTGGATGACTGCAAACAAGACTGAATATCTGTACATGCATTTGTCCTGGAAGACAACATGTTATGCTAGGTAATTGTTGTTTTAAAAAATCAATAAAGTTTGTAATATTTTTAAAATAAGGATGGCTATCACCATTTTTAGTGGCCAGCATTCTCTGTCTGCTAGCGTAAGGACTCCTGTGCTAGCAGATGGATGCATGTTAATGTTGCACAACAGAGGAATCCAATGCAACAGTTGCAGAAACTAGGTGCACAACAGATTGTTCTGAAATAGATGACACAAAGTTGCCAGGAACCTGCTTTTACATTCTCTTGCTCTTCTCATCAATATCCCGCTGGTGCAAAACATCTCACCAACAGAGAGAGAAAAGCAAGTTACTTTAACATAGTGCTACGCTGCATGAAACCCCTTAGTCAATTGCACAATGGTCCATCTATCTCTGTATGAGGATGCCTAGGAGAAAACCATATTGCTAAAGTAAAAGTATGCATCAACTCTACAGTCTGAACATCTGGAAGGATTCATGTTGGTGAAGGTTGAGTAAGATCTCCAAGCCACGATCTCTCCGTTGACTGCATTTTGTTGAAGCTTATCAGGTAATCGCTCTCGCTCTCTCTCTCCTTGTGGCATTCATCCCATTAAGAGGCACTTCCAAACCAAGTTCAGAGATGATTATCGGAGCGCTCTCCTTTTCCACCAGTCCCAACGATCCTGATACCACCTTGGGAAAGAAACTTTGATACCAGAGACTGAGAGAAAGTCGATCAGCTGACAGTGAGGAAATAATCTCTGCTATTGATTGCCACTTCAGGCCTCGGATTCATCACACATCAAAGGGATGAGGTGAGAGGAAGGAGAGGATGGAATAACCTTTGAGGCGCAGAAAGGTAAAAGCCCAAAACGGATGCATATTTATTTATTTATTTTTATTTTAGGCTAACCCCCCCCCCCCACCATCCCATTCACCTTGAGACTGGTTACTTTGAAGGCTGCATATCTTCCGCTTGGGGCAGGGGAAGGATCAATACCAAATTAATTCAAATTCAGAATTTGCAAAAAGTGAGTTCTGCTAACTGATAGGTGAGAGAAGGGCTATTGCTCAGTGGTAGAGCATCTGCTTTGCATTCAGAAGGTCCCAGGTCCCTAGCATTTCCAGGTAAGGCCAGGAATCTCCTGTGTTGGGAACCTAGGAGAGTCTCTTCCACTCAGTAGAGACAATACTGAGCTAGATGGGCCAATCGTCTGAGAAGGCAGCTTCCTTATGAGATCCAGTTGATCGCTCTTTGTATCCCATACAACCCTCTGCTTCAAGAGCCCCCTGTCACCCTAGCTTGACCATAATATGCCAACTTCCTAAATGGAGTACCTTTACATCGTTCCTCAATTAAACTCAAAAGCTCCGATGTAACTGGGAATATTGGAGAGGGGAGGGAACTAAATGAAGAAGATATAATGTTTTAATCTTTACAAGCACATTTAAAGGTAGGCTTCCCTTAAAAACACCCCTCATCCTTCAAGTGAGCATGGAGCACTGAGAGTTGAACTGATTCAAATATTGCTTCAGCTGAGTTTAATGTTCACAGCAAGCAACAGAGATCAGCAAGAATCCCCCCCCCCATTTGCTTCAGCTTGGCTTTGAAGTGATCTGAGTAATTGTCGTTTCCCCCCCCCCAAAAAAAAAAACCCAGGTTACATTTCTGAGTCAATCTGGGTTTTGTAAATCACTTGCCAAGCCAGCACCCCTTTCCCTCAAACCCTTCCTAATCATCCATTTTGCTCCCAATATTCTACTCCCTTTATAAAAAGAACATCTTCCTTTTTCAACAGAATTAACTGTCTGGGGCATCTCTCTCACACACGCGCTCTCTCTCGCTTCCTTCCTCTATATCAGAAGTAGGGAAGCTCAGGTTTGTGCCCCAAATTTAGCCCTCCATGACTCTCTATTTCGCCCTCAGATCACTTCCCAGGCCACCGCCACCCCCATCACTGGCCTCACTTTGCTCTTGTCTTTTGTTTTCTGCAACCTGAAGCTTTTGGAAAGCAAAACATCCTCATGGGGTTGGGGGGGGTGTCATTCATATCCTGAATTTGAAAGGTCCCTGATCCAGAGTTTTGTGTAACATCTTCCACTTTCCCTGGAGAAGCCTACAAAGGCATCTTTCTCGGGCTTTATTACTAGCTGAAGCCACGACCAAGTTTATATTGGTCATTATTGAGATACCAATTACCAGAAGAGGTTGGGGAAACTGGTCCTCCACTGTACCGCCCCCCTGCTTCTTCTATTATTGTTGTAAGGATGTAAATCATCCACTTGTCTAAGGCTTTCCAATAATTACGGTGTTGGGATCCGCAGCCCAGGTTATCTGCTCCATTCTAAGTGTCTTTGCATCATTTAGTACTTTGCCGTATCGATTCCAGACAATGTTACAGGCAAAGGAATCGAAGGCTTGCCTTGTGATTTTCGAGCATGTCCAACACATAGGGAAGACTTTCTCGCAGAGACACCCTAAGCACAGGGACTTTAAATACAAGCATGTGGCAATCTAACTCAAGGTGGTTTCCTCGTCTCAAGCACTCCTGATCAATTAAGGCTCCCGTCAACATTTCCAGCATTTAAACAACAACAGAAGACACAAGTTAGGACATGAGAGGCAGAGAACATAGCAATAGAAAGTGTGGGAATGAAAGGGATGTGAAATTATGTGTGTTGCTATATTATTATTAGTAGTAGTAGTAGTAGTAGTATTTATACCCTGCCCATCTGGCTGAGTTGCCCTAGCCACTCTAGGCGGCTTCCAACACATATACCGTAAAACATAATTAAATGAAAAACATTTAAAACTTCACAATTCAGATGTCTTCTAAAAGTTGTGCAGTTCTAAATCTCCTTGACATATGCACTAAGAAACCAGAGGCTTTCCTTTTGGGTATTGTCAGCCAAGGGGTGGCAAAGAAGGACCAGACATTTTTTATGTATGCAACAACAGCAGCAAGGATACTACTCGCAAAACATTGGAAAACCCAAGATCTACCCACACTGGAAGAATGGCAGATGCAACTGATAGACTATATGCAACTGGCTGAAATGACTGGCAGAATCCGTGACCTGGGAGAAGAGAGAATCGAGGAGGATTGGAAGAAATTTAAGAACTACCTACAAAAACATTGTGATTTGACTGAATGCTGAATAAGATGCTGGACTAAATAACTGAGCACCACTTAACTTAGAAATTTTTAAGGAAATAAGAAAAATTGTGAAAGTTTAACTCTTTATGAGAACTTTAAGATTATGAAATATCGAAGAGATATAAGAATTTAAATAAGATGATAAATTGCTGACAAAATGTTATAATGATGAAGGTGGGAGTGGGAGATGTGAGGAAGTCCAAAGAAAATGTGAAATTATGTTAAGACGAATGCTATATTGTTTATTACATTTATTCTTATTGTAAAACCCAATAAATTGCTTTAAAAAAAAAAATAAATCTCCTTGACATATGATGGGAGGGTGTTCCACAGGGTGGGTGCCACTGCCAATAAGGTCCTCTGCCTGGTTCCCTGTATTACCTGTTGCAGTGCGCGTGTCACACTAAATTTCCTTCACATCAGTGGGGTGGGGTGTGACACAACAACGGATGTCATTGGACAACGTCACTATTCCCCCACCCTGCCTGCTCCTGTATGCTTTTGTTTCCTGATGATTATTCCATAAAAATGGCAGGAAATAACTGTATGAGTCTATATCATTCCAAATTTCGTTGTTTTACTCCCACAATTTTCTGGGTTAAGGGGGCTGAAAAAGTGTGGGGTTTTTTTACCTGGAATAAAACAACCTGGAAAGAAGCACTAAATATGCGCTGTGTTCCACTTAGTTTTCTGGAGGTAACTTTCACATCATTTGAAAGCTCAAATACAAAACTGGGGAAATGGAATGAACCGCCATGTGAATGCAACCTCAAGGCTTTCCAGTACAGTGGTACCTTGGGTTACATACGCTTCAGGTTACATATGCTTCAGGTTACAGACTCCGCTAACCCAGAAACAGTACCTCAGGTTAAGAACTTTGCTTCAGGATGAGAACAGGAATCGTGCTCCAGCGGCATGGCGGCAGCAGGAGGCCCCATTAGCTAAAGTGGTGCTTCAGGTTAAGAACAGTTTCAGGTTAAGAACGGACCTCCGGAACGAATTAAGTACTTAACCCGAGGTACCACTGTATCTGCCAGTGTTCAGTCAGCAGCATTTGGGAACTCACCACCAATAGTTTCCCCCTTGTTATGGGTCCCATCTGCTGGCATTCTGAGAGACAATGCCTCAAAATTGCTTTTAGTTATAACCGCGAATAGCCGTTTAATTTGCTTTACACCACAGTAAAGCAAACTTTGACTCCTTTTGGAACCCAAGCAAATGTACACCAGTTGAAACTTTGGCCCAAGGAATTCTCACAGTTCCCAAAGGGTTTCAGAGGGATGCGAGTCAACATATTTCCTGCCGAAAGTGGGGGGTGTCTCAGGATATTTTAGTGCACCTTTTCTACTTTATTGTGGCCCCGAGGTCATTAATTTTATAAAGGTCAGGTTTAACATGTTTATTTCACTTGGTGTTCTGCCTGATAGAAAAAGATACAGACGTATTAATAGTTCTCAAAACGAATTTGACGTTCCGTTCACTTGGGGGAATCACGGCCAATGTTTCCTCTTGAAAATGACACTTCATTTTGGAATCTGCCACAGCAAAGCGTCCCAGCCCGAAACATCTGGTTGGCATACCCAATGGAACCTTGCACCTGGGAACATGTCGAATGTTGATTTTGAAACTGTTGTCCATTCTCCACTTGCATAAAAATATGTTTTAGGCTGTTAAAATGTGCTTTTGGCAGTCAGCTGTGATAATGCAAGGCTGTTTGTCTTGGAACTGTCTCCGACCAAAATGTGCCGGCAGCTAAGCCTGGATATTCTTTTGGGGAGGAGGGTTTGCTTTCTTCCCCCTAAAGGATGAATACGGATGTAGTACTTAATGGCAAATCATAATATGGGTGTTCACACATTATATTCAACGGGTGTATGATTTGCGTGCACAAATAGTTCAGCTGGTATACATGCGCTGTATACAGTCTATATGCTTGTGTACACAACAGCTGGGCTGTGCAAATAAATAAAGGCTTGTTCACATGTTACACTGAACGCAGGTACAAGCTGTCTCTTCCTGTCAACCTAGCAGTTCGAAAGCACGTCAAAGTGCAAGTAGATAAATAGGTGCCGCTCCAGCGGGAAGGTAAACGCCGTTTCCGTGCCTGCTCTGGTTCGCCAGAAGCGGCTTAGTCATGCTGGCCACATGACCCGGAAGCTATACGCTGGCTCCCTCGGCCAATATAGCGAGATGAGTGCTGCAACCCCAGAGTTGGCCACGACTGGACCTAATTAATGGTCAGGGGTCCTTTACCTTTACCTTTACCTTTACAAGCTGTCTCTACACATGTCCAAGTTTGTGAAATTGTACGTGATCCACTAGGTCTTTCCCACTACCTGCTACCTGTTCCTTTTAACTGGAAATGTACAAGTTTGAACCATGTGCTCTGTTGCCACACTGAGCTACAGCCCTTCCCCAAAAAATAAAGTAAGATTCCAGGCCTCATGCTTCTGAATAAAGGGATGGTTTAAATAGGAACACTGGAAGCTGTGTTATACTGAATCAGAGCATTGCACCATCTAGCTCAGACTTGCTCCTAAACTGACTGGCAGTGGCTCTCCAATGGTTTCTTTCTTTTTAAAATAAATAAATAAAAATAAATTATTTATTTGGTTTTTCAGATTAAAATTTTACAGTCGCATATTCAGCATACAACATAAAAACAAGATTCGAAGGAATCTCTTGGACTTCCCTCCTCCCCTTTGTGGGTCCTATTGTTAATCATTTCCTCCTGCAGCTTTTATAATAATCCAAATCTTTTCTCTCTCCACTGTATCCAAAATTCACCATTAAACTACAAGTGATATATTCCAGTCCTGCTAACAATTTTAACTGTTTACAATGGTCTTTAAGATAAGTTATAAACTTTCCCCATTCCTTACTAAAATTTTGGTCTTCCTGATTTCTGATTCTTCTGGTCATTTTAGCCATTTCGGCATAATCCATCAACTTGATCTGCCATTCTTCTCTGGTCGGGAC